ATCTGATTGTTTTTTACTTTAGATATATATCCTGTGTTATTTACATTATATTGCTCGTTATGCGCAGATATACTAATTCGTGATGTATTACAGAACCACAGGAGAAATAGGGGAACACGGCAAATTCGCAACGAAACTAACGAAGATAACATCCAAATAATGGGAGCGCAACTGCAATCGGAAAAGATCCTCTTTTAAATAATGACTCGACTTTAGTCGACTTTTAATCTCTCCCCCAGTCAATCAACGACGCGCATTTCTCTCTCTCTCTCTCTCTCTCTCTCTCTCTCTCTCTCTTCGCGTTAACTCTTAGGATAAAGTCAACTTATAATCAGCACAAGCAAATACACGCATATGGGGACTATTCGTACCTGTTGGCAGATTGAGGGGAAAACTCCTAAAGGACCATCGACATCCAAAGAGTTTCATATCTCGCGTATCCGGCAGTCGTTCCTTCATCCCCAGGGTCCATTTAACGGACGAGGCCAGGAGCGAACTCATCTCTTAACCGTATCGCGACAGTCTTTGTCCAGCTTCCTTATCCTCGACACTTCAAAAGAGACACAAGCACAGGCGCGACGACACAGAGCGCGACTTTTACTTCGACATCTTCCCCTTTAGCACCTCGGAGTTGGTTGAGCTCACGATGGGAGAAAAACTCTTTCGACAGTGAACCGACGGAGCGAGAGTCGAGAAGAAGGAAAATACGGTGACGGGGCCGTAGTGGCCAAGCAAGTGTGCCGAGGCCCGTGAGCTCTAAGTCGCCAGGGCCCCTTGCGAGTTTCACCGGCGGCTCTCTCTCTCTCTCTCTCTCTCTCTCTCTCTCTCTCTCTCTCTCTCTCAACCCCCCTCCCCTATCAACCAACCTACTACGTACCATGCGTCGCACTCTTTTCATTTTCGGCTAGTCGCTCAAGCCTTTCTCCCTCAATTTGGCGCCTGTTTTCCTCTCTCTCTCTCTCTCTCTCTCTCTCTCTCTCTCTCTCTCTTTCGGATTTGTTTTATATTATTTGCTCTTTTTTCTCATTCCACTCTTTTTCTTAATGAGCATAACATTCAAACACACCTTTTTCTTTGTGTAATTAAGTGTACCGAGAAAACTTGTTTCTCCGTGCAATAAAACGTGCTTGATTTTTAATATCAAAACTGGTCCACTTGCACAATGAATCTTTTAACTCTATATAATTAAATCACTTTTTTATTTTTTTTTTATTTTTCATTTCTTTTTTTTCTCTTTTCTTTTATTTTTTTAACAGAAGAAGCAAAACTTTATGTACCATTATTTCATGAAAATTTATCAGAATTATACAATAAATATAATGAAATATACTTTGTACCGAAGTGCAGACAAAAAAAAAAAAACTTGTTCAAAATCTTTTTAAAACTGTACTTTCTCACAATTTAAACAATGATTCATAGTAAACGTTACTTTAATCAAATTCACGTTCAAATTAGTTTTTTAAATACATAGTTCCAAATTCGTATGTTTTTACAACTGAAAAAATACACTTTGAATTCTCTCCGTTTCAGGCTATATGCTTTTTAAATGTGACTATTCATTATGACGTCTTTATTTACCGTTACTGAATAACACGATCAAAGTTCACTTAAAGAATATAAAAAGTTTCTATATCATAAGAATTAATATGAAAATCAGTTTCAAAAAATATAATGTTAATTGCATAATCTTTAATTATATGCTACATTTAAGTAAGTTAAATAGGTGTAATAATATATTGTGATTTGATAATACTAAACTTAGAGCAAGAATTATGCAATTCCAAATTCAAAAATAGAAATTAATTTTTTACTAATATAAAAATTGCCGTAAACTAATGTAAACATTTGAAACAACTAATGTTTAATATTACATTATCTAGTTTGAAAGTATTGGCACCGTAAAGCACCAACCAACAACACCCAAGAAATATGTGATGAAGTTATATGTGTAAAAGGTATTAGTATCCAAACGGTAAAATGCGTGTTCCCAATTCTAATGATGTGAAGCCAATACAACGAACGAACTCTGCGCTTTTATCAATTAATATTTATTATTATACATATATATATATATATATACTTATTCATTTCTTCATAAAAATTAATTTCACCATTCTCCAAACGAGCCCAACACTACTTTAATGTATTAAAAATTTGTATAATAACAGTGACGTTCGAATAAATAAATTTATAATCATGTAATTTATAACGTGAGAATGATTAGAGTAAAATAATTGTCTTTAATATTAACTAAAATTTTTGAAAATATCCACATCCGGAGTCAAATAGGAATTTTATATGAAGCATTAAATAGTATGGAAAACTTATAATAAAATAATAATATGAGCTGAGTATTGTAGGAGTTACATATATACAAGAAACATGCTTATTAAAAACTTTTAATTTAACACACACGCGAGCAGGCACACACAAGCACGCAAGCGCGCAATTTTATAATTCAATAAAATTAATTAAACACCAAATCTCTTTGATACTTATTTTAATTTACCATTTTTATGTATTCCTATGAATAGAAATTAAAAATTATCTTCTTTATTTTAACAAGCATGTGTTTTATATCAAGATACACTTACTCATATTGGATAAAACTAGTATGAAATGTAAAAGAGATTTTTTTAATAAGAATTTTAATTGGCATTCTAAAACGATTGCAATTGTGATAGTTAATTTGATATATCTATAAATTTTTTTTTTTTAATATGCCTTCACTTCGCTTACAAAACCTTGAGTTTAAACTTGTTATAATACATTTATGTCCCAAGTCTTTTACACGAAATACCACGGATAAAATTTCGTTACATAATTAATTAATAATACCAATAGTAATTGTCCATAATAAGCTAATTACCGATGAAATGAAAAATATTTTAAATTCAAATCTCTCAATATTTATGAGATAAATTGGTTTTTGAAAACTTTAAGTCCTACTTCAAAGTAACAAGTACGTTTTCATTAAATACAAACTTAAAAACTCTTTTTAATCATATTCTGTTGTTAAGCAATCGTTACTGAATTATAACGTTGAAAATGATAAAAGACGTACTATGATAGCACAAGCTTATATAAATTACGAAAAATATAATTTAATATAAAGTATATAATATTAAATTTAAAGTAAATATACTACCTTTTAATATCTTATATATTCTTATTAGTTTATATATTTTGGCAACAAATTATAAAAATCAGATGTTGCTTCACGAAATGTCGCTGCTTAATGCAGAGGTCCTCTAATGTTGCGTTTATTTTAATTAATTGCAGTTTATAATAATAATTGAAAGAACAAGTACGCGCATCAACTTACGAATTACAGTGTTTTATTATTCGAATAACACGATAAGTTAATTTTCCAAACATTAAAATAATTGAAAAACTTGAAAAGTTTTAATATAGTGTGCCTTAAGATTCTGTTGAGTTGGCTTAGTAATTTTAAAGCTATGCATTATTATGGAAAAGTTATAAGATTAAAAATAAAAAAATTGGTTTCACGCGAACGAAATTTTTTAATAATCAATAAACTCATATTTGCCGACAAACCAAATTTTCAATTTTTCTATCGGCCAACTTTAAACAAACGTGTATATAATAAACGATGAAACAAATTATCACACATTACCCTTTTAAAAAATTCTTATTAACGCATTTACGAAATATTTTAATAAGCATCTTCCAAGATTAATTAAACATGCTAAAATAATGAAAAATTACCTCCAAAGCACTGAATGCTCTCTAAACAGTTTACTTCAACTTAATAATGAAATTATGTATTAATGTATTCTTGGGTTTCTATATTACTTAATAACTAAATTAAATTACTGTAAACCAGTATTTAATATACAAATGATTATTGGCATTAAGCAATAATTGGATTGTTTTCATTTTTTTTTTTTTTTTTTTTATAACTGAATGGAATTATACTTGCTGCTTCATCATATATTAATTATATGTATTAAAATTGAATTAAAAAAAAAAAAAAAAACAAACAAACAAACAAACAAACAACCAAACACATAAATAGTAAGACGAAAAGAAAGAAAAAAAATTCAATAACTTATTTTCGAGATTCTCGTGAACAAATCATTTCTGTACATTTATGCGCCAATATAATAGTGGATCTACGTTAGATCAGTGGCGAACTGTGATTTCTAATTGCTACACCTAACCGACAGCCTACCATATATCATTCGCGTCCATTATATATCGAGTCCGAATCGTCTGGTCTCTAATGGACAGCGCAGACTTTTTTCCTCGAGTAATTGAAACTAAATCATCATCCTTCAATAATAATGTCAAATGCAGAAGTACACAACAAGTGCTTGAAAAGTGAAAAAACATTATGTGAACGTGAATAAACGAGTGATGGATTTGCGCCGAGATTTTTTGTTTGCATTGTATTAGTATACGTAGCAGCTACTGGTATGGTAATATCCGTTATCAAGACAAACGACGCGAATTTTCAATTCGGATATTAGATACGCTATGCATATAAAGTGTATTACAATTAAGAATCGTGAAATCACGGCGGTGAAGTCACGGCGATAGGCTTTATGTAACCTGGATACTTTGCATAAATAGATAAGTGAAATTTCCGAAATAATTATCCGAATAAATAAGTCCCGCCCAGTAGATAACTCAACGCGTAATAGGGCATAATGGCTAAGGAACAACAGGAATAAACGAATGCCGGCTTAATCGTTAACCGGATCCGCAGTATATTATATTACTCCTCGTCAAGGCTCACTCAGGCTTAAGCCACTTGTAAATGGCATGCAGCGCCTGCACATCCGATGCATAACACAGTGGATATTAATGGCCGACATGGCGTAACTGGCCACATTTAACGCGGCACTTGTTCTAATCCATCAAGAGCGCGCGTTAAGATCCGGAGGTGACGCTCCCTCCTTTACCATCAACGTCAAACGTTACACTAATGGAAATAAAAGTGCGAATAAATGGGCGAAGTTGAGCCGCTGACTTACCGTTATTGGAGCGCGTTTGCGATTGGAGTGTCGGATTGTTGTTGGTCTCGATGCAGGTGGTCGTGGTCGTGGCGCCCCCGACGGAGCTCGACGAGTGCTGCTGGCGCTCGGCGCTGTTGGCTGAGGTTATGCTGGGTGCTCCGAGCCCGACCGACGGCTTTGACGATGTCGACCAGGGGCTGCAGGTGTCGCAGCCCTCGGCGGAGCGCGTCGACATGCGACAGCAGGACCAGCGTTTACCGCTCCAGAAGCCCGCGTGGTAACGACCGCTGAGACCAGGATTTTCGCTGCACACTGTCGGGCAAGCAAAATTTTATCCTCCTGGACTTTCCTTTAAGCTGGACGAAGGCTTTTGTGGGAGCGAATGCGGGAAGAATTGTGCGCGGACGCTTCGAGGAGACGGAATGGACTTGGAGCGCACGTAGATCGCGCCAACGATTTTCACGATTTTCATTTCATTGTTAATCGAGGGGATCAAGGGGATCATTTCCTTTTTGTTGCACATTAGAGCATCCTTATGTCAGACTTTATTCTCGCAATTATGTATAGTTGGCAGTGGCGCGTAACTACCTGTCTACTTTTATTTCTCCTTACGAAACGACTATAAAATGACATTTTATTGACGATTTAGTAAGGAACTTCACAACTATATATACGCAAGTGTTGATGATAAAGAACTTTTATTGTAAGATGTATGGAATATTAATGGTAGAACGAAACAATTATTTTTATGTAATATCTCCCCCTTCCGTTTCCCGCTGACAAAGACCTTAATACACGAGAATGCATGAAAATTTTATCCTATCGTGTCTATAAAAGTTGTTAATGTAAATAGTAAAAGCTGTTAATAAAAGGATGTTAATGTATCTAATGAAAAATAAAATACATTTAATCTGCATATTGAAATAGAAAACTGTTTTGTATAACTCTTGATCCCATTTTTACGGCACGTTTTAATGGCACGTTATAATATCTCATAATTTCGGTAACTTTCTTATCCCTACTTTAATAGTTTATGTGAAAATATTTGAAATATTGGTTTGAAAATATGCATTGACGCGCGGTCCCTCGCTTATTGCGTCCAGTTCACTCGTTATAAGTAAATTTCAATCCACCGCAGAATGGTATTGAATTAACTTCAACTGATGATGAACTAAAGATCATAATGACCCTACGGTCATTGCCCAACTAAATGAAACTTATGCATTATGGATCATTGATTTTTAATCGAGCCGAAGATTCTATGGTCGAGTAATTTGTTTCAGATTTACGTCTGATTTTTCTTTTGCTTTTTTTTTCTTTCTCTTTAGTCTCTCTTTTTTTTTTTTTTTTTTTTCATTTTAAAGTTAAATGTTGTCTTTCACCAAAGTTCCTTAATACGATTTAGCCGAGTTGAAGAGATGGTGGAAATTTCAAAGACGGATTTTTCAGTCGATATGCGATTTTGAAGAAAGATTTTCTAAAGATACATTAGTTTCAGGCAAAAGTGAGTTAGTATAAACTATCTTGAAAGAAATAGAGGAAGGATTCCCGTACTTTAAGTTGCCAAGATAAGATGTAGTTGAAAAACGATAGAGCCTATTATTATATTCATTTGACATTGGACTCAACGATATTTTATTTATATTACGAATTTATTACGAAGATCGTTTTATAAATCTATAATGTTAAAAATACATTCAAACGATTTAAATTTCACACTCACGTGAATAATAGATTATTAACGGATCTAAACGTTTTCATAATTTTATTTTATAATTTTAAATATTTTATTTTGACCTACTACTTTTCATTATTACAACGATTGCAAAAATTATTCTATTCGATTAAAACTGCATAAGTACTGTGCATACGTAAGCGATCGTGACAATGATGATACAAGGCAATAAAATACGGAATCGTCATTGCAAAGTATGTGAGATTAAAATTACAAAAACATAGATACTCAAAGTATCTGAGTTATTATTCATCATAATTTATGAAAAAGAAAAGAATAAAAAACAAATAATTTAATGCAATTAAATTAGATCTACAAATATATGATTTATGATGATAGTAAAGAGTACTGTAAATATCATTTTCGAATGATCATTTAATATTCGAATACAAAATGCCATCGTTTGACTTGTGAATGTAATATTAAATGAATATTTACTTACCTATTATAGTTTAAAATTGATTTCCAGATTTATTTCATGAATTTTTAAATGTATGTATCGTAGTGCTACGATATTGCTTATCTACTTATATTATGCACGTTTAGCAGGTAATAATGACAAAATGTTTATAAAGAATATTTATTGAAAAATGAAAAAGAACTTACTATATAATATTATCGTTGATATTAAAATTATTGTTAGTATTAGGTTGAGTAAACGAGTCAAGTAAGAGTAAGAATAACATGAAAAATGTATTATTATTTACATTGGTATATTTTTAATAATTAATTTTGCATAAACGATTTCTTTACCATACAAAACGTCACTTATTTGTATATTCATGAAGAATATTACATTTTACAAATGAGAATTTTAAATTAAAATAGATTGCTTCATAAACTTAAAAAGAAAGTTGTAATTAAAATTTATTAGTATGGAATTATTTTTTTGTAAAATTGAAAATTTATTAGTAAGAAAACATTTTGTTATAACATTGAATTTAGTTGTATACGTTTGGTCAGTATTTTTGATAATTTTGAAACATTGAATTTTCAATGTACCAGTTCTTAATAAAAAAGTTTGTAAATTCTTCAGTTGCCTTCTAGAAGGCCCTTTTGTATAAAAGTGCTGATCGATAAATTTAAATAGGCTTTCAAAACTTCTTGGGAATAACTCTTTTAACTATTCCTATAACACATCTAAATATGTAGATTATTTTTTATGAGATAGTTTAGTATTATGGTATTAGTAAAATAAAGAAAATTGCATAATATATTACAACTGCACTAGAAAGATATAATAGTGAACAGAGCATACTGAAGTTTGTAATAGAAAATTCTTGTGTTTGCTCATAATAATTACCCTAATATAGATATATTATCACAAAATTGCTTTCATCATATCTATCATACATTGTATTTGCACAATTATTCATAATTATTATAAGATTATTGTTACAATAGGATTAGCTTTATTATTAAATTTATGCAAATTACCGTAATAAACTTCTTAGGTGCTGACACACATCGACGTCGAGGATACCAAAATAATTCAAATGCTTGAAAGATGGCCATTAAAATGTGACATTATTTGGAAAAGAATGATGTAAGATATTTGCGGCAGAATTTTTAATGCCATAAATAATAATAAATACAAAAATAAGAAAAGAATCCAAATTTTCTACACTATTAAGAAAATACAAAGTATACGCACAAAGTATATCGACTTGACAATATACAAATACACGCCGTTAAAGCCCTACCAACATTACTTATAAAACACGATTTACACTGTACAATGGTCTCGGAAAGGTGCCATGAAGCGACGAGTCTCACTCACTCAGAGTGTAGCCAAGTCCATCGTGTCTCGCGTCTCTGAATAATAGGATCCATAACGGGAATTGCGAGCGTAAAGTTCACTTCATCCCTCTCTACACGCCTTTTCGGTACCACATTCGGTCCCTCGCACCTCGCCTACCTTTCCACTTCCTCTCCCTTCTTCTTCGTTGTCCTTTTTATTTCAAGATTGTAATGTTAGGCAATAAGCACGCGTAGCTCTTCTGTTTTAAGATTAAAAACGAATACTTTAAATGACATCAAATTATTATAATAAATTCTTACATTTTGAAAATCAGATGTTCTAATCAATATTTATAAATGTAAAGATAAAAGAATTGATGAACATAGTAAATTAAATAATTATCAAAAGAACTTGTCTAATACTACAACTTTCGCGATTGTTATGGGAAGAAAAAACGGAGGGAATGAGCGTGGGATGGATGGAAAGAGGGAATATTACAGCATAAGTATTCAAGTGTAAATGAATTGGATGTAAAAAAAGAAGTATAACTACTCGAGGAATATTGAACCTAAATATTATGGGTAAAAAATATGCCGAATTTCTAATAAATTAATAGTAACTTTAGACATAAATCTCTCTCTCTCTCTCTCTCTCTCTCTCTCTCTTTCTCTCTCTCTCTCTCTCTGTATTTGCATATGTAGAAACATTCAGAATTGGAAATCATGATGTTTTTATAACCATACAATTCATTATTACAAATGTTATCAAACAAAACAGTAAAAATGAAAGATCGACTATCAACACAAGTCGTAATAATGTTTCCGAAGAGTTCATTGATTAACAGAGCCACGAGCCACGAGCCACGAGCGACGAGCCACGAGTCACAAGTCAGAGTAATACGTTAGTAGTATAAATCCAAGAAGCGAAGACTAATTTTTTACCTTGAATGCAACACTCGAAAAAGCTACTGTAATGAGGGAGCGAAGGAGCGAGGGCACCGCGTGAACGACGATGGGAGTTTGCTTTTTATAAAGTTGGAGTGCGCTTCCACCTCGTATTTCTCCTTCCTCCTTCTGCCCATTTATATTGGTGTACTTGACGATCTCTCCTCCAACCCCGTCTCAACCACCACTGCCACCCGCCACGAAAAAGCACGTAGGACGCGCAAAGTTGGACGTGAGAACGAGGAGCGCTTATTCAGTAGGTGAAACAGAGAGAGAGAGAGAGAGAGAGAGAGAGAGAGAGAGAAAGAACTCCGATCCTCGTCTCCGACCTCAAACGCGCCACTTTGAAATGGCGTTCACATGCGCCCGGGTTCATGATATGTGCGGTAATGCAATTGAAAGGGCCGCGTCTCTTTGTGCGCGCGTGGCCTCCTTCGGCTCCTATACATTCATCTTTTCGAGTTTTTTGCTCGCTGGGCCCAAGCTCACGTCGGCGCCCACAAAGTCTCAATCGAGTACGCCTGTGTGTTCAGAACTTACCCCAACAATTGAGCTGCGCATCCCGCATTCGTACAATTTTCCTCACCGACTACTGCCAAATTGATAGTATAAATACTCTTATCTTTTATCTAAGGATCATTTCATGTACACTAGCATAAGGCACTCCAAACACATTGATAAGCACTAGACTTTGCAATAATTCGTTAAATTTACGGATTGATCGTTTTTACAATGTCGTTGTCACTTTTGATTATTGAAGCGTTTCTGTCTTCACACGAGCCTTTATAAAGGTCTAACTGTTATGAATTTTCAAGAATCCTTATAAGAATTAATTCTCGCGTATTATAATTTTCTGGTTTTTTGTTTTTGTTTTTTGTTTTTGTTTTCTATA